GGCAGGCCCTACGAGCAGAGGCTACAGGACCTGAACCTGTTCAGCCTCCACAAGAGAAGGCTGAGAGGGGATCTGGTGGCAGCCAACAAACTGGCCAAGGGGGACCAGCGGGCTATGGGAGCACAGAGTCCGTGTTCCCCAGAGCACTACTGGGAGTAATGAGGAATAATGGCCATAAGTTGACAGAGTAGATTCAGGCTAGATATCAGGAGGCACTGCTTCACAGTCAGGGCAGCTAGGATCTGGAACCAACTTCCAAGGGAAGTGGTGCTCACTCCTACCCTGGGTGTCTTCAAAAAGAGGCTAAACAGTGACTTAGCCAGGGTCGTTTGACCCCAGTACTCTTTCTTGCCCATGGCAGGGGATTGGACTTGATGATCTGCTCAGGTCCCTTCCGACCCTACCAACTATGAAACTGCTGTTTTTAATTGATTTATCTATATTGGAAAATTTGACTTGGTAGGATGAAGGTAGTCTGGGAGAACTGTGTTGCAGATGAGAAGTGGGGTTGATAACTGTTGATAAATGTGGCAAAGAACCTACTTGGTTTCCTTTTTATTTAGTACTGAAATTAATTTTGTAAATATATGGAATTGCCTTTATGCAAGCTCCCCTGAGGAAAAATGTACAAAAAATGGTTTGAGGTGTAGGGCTTTAGTTGAGTTTGGGCAGTCATTTATGTTTTAGTAGAAATTTAATTTAGTGTAGGATTCTAGACAATACATTGGAGGGTGGTGCGTGAATTGCTTCTTTCTGGTTTCAGTAAAATGCAGACAAAGAAAAAATGGCAGATATTTACCTTCAGTACAGGAAAATGAGCCTCTTTTTTTATTTCAGAGCTGTAAATTGAAACACAAGATCTCATTTCTCTCTTTCTCATTCTTACCACATTGGCTTTTAGGATGTTGAATTGGTTCAAGCCATTTGATCCAAGATGACTGTGTTCAAAAAAGTTTTAATCTGCAAAGATTAAAGCAGTTTTACTATATTTATTAACTGTTCTTTGAAATACTGATGTTAGCAACTTTATAATTAACAAGATTGTCCTCTTTTTTTCAGAGATCTGGTAGAACAGTTGCCAAGTTCTCATACTTTTCTTCTTCTTGGTGATGCGTACATGAATATTCAAGAGGTAAGTGTCTGCATCTTGAGAGATGAACAGAGTAGCTGAGTAGTTAGTTGGATGTCAGATTAGCAGATTTTATGCTATTTACCATTCTAGTTCTGTCAGTAGGTGTTTGGGAAGCAAAATACACTTAAAAAAAACCCCATAGAGCATGTTCACATGAGCGCGCACATGCCTCTTGCCCTGCCTCACAACCCTTTGAGGCGGGGCAACAGGCATGTGTGGGAACAGAAAAATGTTCCCTGCACTGCAGACTTGCAGCAGGGGGAGAAAATTAGACCCCTGGATATCCAGGGGTCTAAAAAACTCAAAGCTGAAAAAAGAGGCAACCGGAGGCTGGATCCTCCACGGAGATGCTCTGGCTGCCAGAACATCACTATGGTTGGCCCCTCGCCCTGATGCTGAAATATGCGGCCTGGCTGGCCACATATTTCAGCGCCAGGGCTCTGGTGCCGGTGAGCAAGGGGTCGGGGGGCTGGGGGAAGGGACC